CGCCGGCAACTTTCCAGCGTTTAATGGAATTGGTTTTGGCTGGACTGCAATGGGAGTCGTGCCTCATTTATTTGGATGACGTTATCGTCTTTGGTAAAACTTTTGATGAACATCTCCAGAGGTTGCGGGGGGTTTTCCTAAAGATGCGGGCTGCTAATTTGAAATTCAAGCCCCAAAAATGCCATTTGTTGCGTGATTCGGTGCGTTATTTGGGGCACATCGTGGGACGCTCAGGTATTGCTACCGATCCCGCCAAAACGCAGTGTGTCAGCTCCTGGCCGACTCCCACCTCGGTGGGAGAGGTCAGGAGTTTCATTGGGTTCGCGTCGTATTATCGACGGTTTGTTGCTGATTTTGCAACAATTGCTAAACCCCTGCACGCTTTAACATCTAAAGGGGTTCGGTTCCACTGGGGCCAAGAGGAGGAGGCTGCGTTCCGCTCCCTTCGGGACGCCCTGGTGAAAGCCCCTCCCTTGATTTACCCTGATTTTTCGAAGCCCTTTTTGCTCGACACCGATGCGAGCAACACGGGTATTGGGGGTGTGCTTTCCCAGGTGGTTGATGGCGTTGAACGGGTGGTCGCGTACGGTAGTCGGGTGTTGTCTCCTGCGGAGCAGAGATATTGTGTCACCCGTAGAGAACTGTTGGCAATTGTTTTTTTCATCCAACAATATCGCCCATATCTGTACGGTCGGCATTTCACCGTCCGCACAGATCATGCGGCACTACAGTATGCCCTGCGAGTTCAACAACCATCGGGACAGTTGTCTCGATGGTTGGAGGTTCTCCAGGATTTTGATTTTGAGACCACTTACCGTAAGGGCGTTCGCCATACCAACGCGGACGCTCTGTCACGCATGCCAACCACCTCGGAATGTGCATGCCTCCTGGGGTCGGGACGTTGCAGACCTTCAGGGGACGCATCGGTTCCGATCCTGGCAGCCACCGACGACGACGAACCACTGCCTGATAATTCGATCGAACAACAGGGAAGGGATTCCCTGTTGGGGTTGCCCGTCACTGAGTGGGGACGCCTCCAAATGGAGGATACCTCCCTCCTCGGGTGGCGTCGTCGCGTCGGGGGTGCTGGGCGGGTGAAAGGTGATTCGGGTGCTTGGGAAATGGTACAGGGTCTGCTCATGCATTGGGACGGCAAATCACAGCGACATCGGCTGGTCGTCCCTTCTGAGTTGCGAGGCAAAGTGGTGTGGGCTGCGCATGAGCGCCTGTTACATCTGGGGACTCTAAAGACCCTTGCACTGATACAACTAGATTTTTTTTGGCCTGGTATGACAAAGGATGTTGCGGATTTTTTGAGTTCATGCCCGCGGTGTGCGCAACGGAAACCGCCGGCACGGGAGTCTAACCCGCCTTTGCAATCAATCAAGGTGTCCAGGATAAATGAGCTTGTCGCGCTGGACATCTTGGGCCCATTTCCCGCCACCCCCAGGGGCAATAGGTATTTGCTGACAGGAGTCGAGTATTTTACGCGCTGGCCCATGGCCTGGCCCCTTGCCAACCAGTCGGCAGCAGCCATCGTGGACGCCTTTGTTCAGGGATACGTCCTGGACAAAGGTGCTCCGGAACGGCTGCTGACCGACCAGGGTAAAAATTTTTCCAGCAAATTACTTAAACAAGTCTGTGACCTCTTAGGCACAAAGAAAATTCGGACCTCCCCATATCACCCACAGACTGACGGAATGGTCGAGCGCCTGCATCGCACCATTTCGTCAATGATGGCACAGCAGGTCTCAGATTCACAGACTGATTGGGACCTGCATATTCAGGGGGTCTTGGCGGCATACCGGATGGCACCCCATGCAGCTACGGGATTTTCCCCCTTTTACCTTATGTACGGTCGCGAACCCGACCCGCCTGTTCGCGCCCAGCTGCAGATCCCCGACCCGCAAGGAAAAACTAAATTGGCTGACCACGTCAAATTTAATCTGGCTAAATTAACTGAGGCGCGGGATGCTGCGAGGTTGAACTCGGACCGCCGTCAAAAGGCGAACGAGCGCCTCAGGCTGGGTCGGGCGCATGTAATACAGTGGAAACCGGGGGACAGGGCATGGTTGCACTGTCCCCAAGTGCCCCTGGCTACCTCCCCTAAGCTGGCGCGGCCGTGGCGGGGCCCTGTGGAAGTGGTCGAGGTCTTGCGACCACAGTGCGTGCGCATTCGATGGGGCAAGCGGCGATGGTTCGTGCACCCCTCTCGGTTGAAACCCTTCGTCGCGGTACACAAACCCACTTCACGCATGCGTGGCCAGACGTGTGGGGGGTCGACCGACTCACTAGGTCCGTCTCCACCGCGCTCACCTAATGCCTTGCCGGCCGTGCCACCTCCAGGTGCATCGAGACTGACGGGCTCACGCCCGACCACCCCTTCTGGGGATACCAACAGTCACGCGGCATCAGAGGAGGTCTCACTCCGGGACGGACGATTACCACCTGACGGTCCGCCACCCGGGGTTTCCCCGTGTGAGGGGCCCGCCGCAAGGACACGCGCAAAAATGCGCAGACTGTTGTGAAACCGCAAGATGTGTATATATGTTGTGTTCATTGTGTGTTGTGTGGGGGGGGGTGTTCCCTGCCCATTGAATTTGCATACGTTGTGCTCACCTGCTGTTGTATGTATGGTGGCTTCGCTGCAAATTGTACATAGCTTGTTCTTACGGAATTCGTATTTATTCAAGGGGGGGTGCGTCGGGTTGTTTTTTTTTCCTTCTTGCTGTTGCATTTTTTTTGTGTTCTTGTTACCGTTCTTGTTATTGTTGGTAATTAGTGAGGCACACGCGCGGTTACGGTAAAAATTCATTTTTATTGTCATTCTGTATGTTGGCAGCCGGGACGGCTGCGAGCTATGTAGGGGGGAGTGATGTAGGGATGTTAGAGAGAGGGCCGTTATGTATGGCAGTCTATGGGAAAGAAACACAGTGGGCGGGGCTACGTGTGTGCACAGGGAGGTGCCCTCTGCGACGTCCGAGCCAGACACCCTGGGGGGGGCTGGTTTGGCGTTATGATCCCCCGGGGCCCCACCCCTCAGGGAGGGTTGGGTATAAAAGGGGACGTTATATGGGCTCGGGAGTTAGTTATGTGATAGTTAACTAAGAAGACGGAAGACGTCTTAGATAGAGCCCTGGACTCCCTCGTTCGATGTCCTTGTCAGGGCCGAACAGGATCGAGCCAGCGGCGTGGTCCCGAAAGCCAGAGCCGGTGCTCTTCTAAGAGCTGGTCTGGGACTCCGGGTACCGGCCCGACTTACCAGTGTCGGGCCAAGTAGCCTCCCCTAGCCCAGTAGTGGAGGACTGTGAGGTAGGCTAGGACTTAGCCAGGAAGTGTATCCTTGAGCTAGTCGGGTGAGGGGGCCGATACCCCCTCCAGTACTGTATGTCACATAAGAGTTGTGTTAAATAAATATCCGTGTGCCTCCACCTCGGCGTCAAGTGTCTTCACCGGTACTTCACCTGTATAAAAGACACCTGTTCACAGAAGAGTTTTAGAAGGTTATGGGTTTAGAGGTTTTGATGTTTAGGGGATTAGGGGTTTATAAGGTGAGGGGTTTAGTGGGTTACGGTTTTACAGGTTTAGGGGTTTCGACGGTTTGGGGTTTATAAGGTTAAGGGTTTAGGCAGTTAAGAGTGTTGGGGGTTTATGGGTTGCCGTTTTATAGGGTGAGGTGTTTAGACGGTTGGGGTCTTAAGGGGAAAGTCCTTCAGAGGATTTGGTGTTTAGAGGGTTAGAGTTTAGAACGTTTTGAGTTTAGAGGGTTTAGAGAGTTACGTGTTTAGAGGTTTATGGGTTTTAGAGGGTTAGGGGTTTAGAGAGTTACGTGTTTAGAGGTTTTTGTGTTTCGATTGTTGGATGTTGAATGGTTTAGATGGTTAGTAGTTGAGGTTATAAGGGTATGTGTTTAGGGGTTTAGAGGTATCGGGGTTTCAAGGGTTAGTGATTTACAGTGTTACGGGTTTAGTGGTTTGAGAGTTGAGGGTTTAACACGTAGACTTTCACAACTAATATTGTCCATAATAAAGTTTTTTTTTGGTTTAGTCTCCAACACTAAATGGCACTTTTTGTTGATGTGACAAATTTTACTAATTGGCTGTTTTAGGTGGTGGTTGGTTTAACGACACGTTTATATTTACATAATCTAACAAAAAAAAACCTTTATGGGTTTAGAGGGTTCCGGGTGTAGTGGATTATGTGTTTAGAGGGTTAGCATTTTAGGGGCATAGGTGTTTTAAGGGTTAGGTGTCTAGAGGGTTCGTTCTTTAGAGGGTTGGGGTTTAAATGTGTTGGGATTAGGTTACAGATTTAGGGTTTTAGAACGTTAGGGGTCTGAGGGTTAGGGTTTTAGAGGTTGAGGATTTAGGAGGTTATGAGTTCAGAGGGTTAGGGGTCTAGAGGGTTAGTTCTTTAGAGGGTAGTGGTTTAGATTGGTTGGTATTTAGAATGTTAAGGATTTAGGGTTTTAGAAGGTTAGGGTTTCAAGGTTTAGAGGGTTAGGGATTCAGAGGGTTTAGAAGTTTTGGTTTTTAATGGCTTAGACGGTTAGGGTTAAAAGAATAAGGGGCTTAGAGAGTGAGGGTTTTGGTAGGTTAGGGTTTTAAGGGTAAAGGGGTTGAGGGTTAGGGGTATAGGAATTTAGAGGGTTAGGGGTTGAGATGGTTAGTGTTTTGGTGGTTTAGAGTTTAAGCTTTTAGATGGCGAGGGGTTTAAAGATTAGAGTTGCAAGGGTAAATGGGTTGAGAGGGTTAGCGGTTTAGATGGTTATGGATTTAGATAGTTAGGGGTTTAGAGGGTTTTAATTGTTCGAGGTTTAGTGGTTAAGGTCTCTGTGCGAGTCCAACATGTTTGTATGAGTCTATGGTAAGATAAAAAGAGTTCAGTTTAATTTGTATATTTCGAAACAATTTGTTTACCTTTCCTGTGATGTTTTTGTATCATATTTTTGTTGTTATTTTCTGACCCACAAGATTGGACGTCTGTGAAAACAGATCGTTATAGCTCATCAGATGCATCCAGTATAAATAAATATTCAAATTCTAATTCTATTGACCTCTGTGCGAATCTATAGATTTCTGTGTGAGTTTTTGGGCCTTTGAGTGTATGGATCTCTGTGTGAGGCTATGGGTCTCTGTGCATGTCTATCGGTCTCTGTGAGTATGGGGTCGCTGTGTGAGTCTGAGTGTCTGTAGGAATGTATGGGTCTCTGTTGGGGTCTATGGGTTTCTGGGTATGGTTGTTTGTGCGAGTCTTACATGCACAAATTTAACTTAAAATGGCCATTGAGGGTTGCGGAATCCAAGTTGAATATTAAGTTCCCTGCAGTGCAAGCCAGCTCTCTAGTCGTGTCATCAAACAGCCCCTTTAATTCTTTATAATAATAAAATAGACTTAGTCCAGGAAATCCACACTGAGTCACAGTCAGGTCCTGAATTGTTTTTTTACATTTTCGACGAATGAATGATGAGTTCTTACACAAGTGGAGGGGGGGAATTCGAGAGACTTGCACCGTTGTTTCAACTGCCATAGAAACAAACTGGTGACCTTAGGATCATCGCAAATCCAGTGTGCTAACCATTACACTGTGGCAAATCACCCACACGCTCACTCACCGAGCTACACGCTCACCTGTACACACATTCACTCAGGACCGCAGCTCACAACACTTCTCTTTCTGCTTTTTCTCTTTTACTGACAGCATGCATAAAACATCAAGGTGCCTTACAATGGGGGGGGGGGGGGGTAAGAAGTGGCTAAGTTAAAATTCGAGATGCTTTCTTAAAAGATAAATATTTTTAGGGGGGACCTGAAGGCCCAAACTGAACTAGACTCCCTGACCAACTTTGACAGAGAGTTCCAAAGTCCAATGGCCACCAAAGCAAAATCCCGGTCGCCCATGGACCACTTTGAGCTTTCTTCTCGCGATACAGAGATCTAAATCAGCGATTCTGATGATGCAATTTACATGAAAGTGACGCTTCACAGTGGACGTTACAATTCCCGCTGATGGCATTACTACTATAATAGCCCAGAAATGTGTGTAATGCACGTGACGTCACTCCACATACCCCCTCCCCCGTCATTAATAATAAAATAATCATGAGCGGGTGGATTTTTACACTCACGCGGAAGGCCGAGTGGAAAGATAGTTTTTTCGCAAAGTTGCTTCAAATATGACGTTTCTTTACAGAAAGTAAAAAATAAATATACGCAGCAGTGCTACATCCGTACGTGACGTCACTGCAAAAGAGACACCCCCCCCCTCATTCATAATCATGAGCGGGTGGATTTTTACATTCCCGCAGGTTGATTGGAAATAATTTGTTTTACGCAAATTAACTTTAAATTTGACGTTTCTTTATTGAAATGTAATCAAATCAATATTTCTACGCAGCAACAAAGTGTATTTGGTGTCTTTATTTATTTCTTCAGCACTTGAAACAAAAGGTAAGTCTAATTTTTGCTTCTAAATTATTATAAAAGTAGCCTATAGCCCGTCCAAGGACGGGTGTATTGCAGTTAATCTGAAATATTCAATCGAAAATAAAGACCCGCTCATGATTATTAATGAGGGGGTGGGGCCAGGGTCCACATGAGTGACGTCATCATTACATGATTATTGATGAAGGGGGGGAGCTCCATGTGGAGTGACGGAATCTGCTCATGATTATTGATCAGGGGGGGAACTCCATGTGGAATGACATCATCCACTCTTGATTATTAATGAGGGGGTGGGTGGCGTGGTCCACATCAGTGACGTCATCCGCTCATGATTATTAATTAGGGAGTTTGTGTCCCGCGCGTGACGTCACTCCACATGCCGCACCCCCGTCATTAAGGTAGAGCAGAATTATTATTTGTTGCAAATTCGCTTTAAGTTTCACGTTTCTTTATTTAAAATGAATCTAATAAATAATTCTACGTGGAAAAAAATTGGATTTGGGGTCTATATTTTTTCCTAAGATAAGTCTAATTTATGCTTCTACATTTTGGTTAAATAGACATTTCTCGGTGATTTTCCAGATATTGTATTGCAATCCAATTTATTTGCACCCCAGCGACCGAAAGCAGAAAATAATAAAGTATCAGAGCAGTGAATTAGAACAAATTGAAGGTCAGTTATATACAGTGCTACAGTGAAATGCAGTGAAGTGTTTTATGACATAATTTCGTGCAAGATTCACTGCCATTCAATTAACACAAGATACAATTATACTCTGCTAATTTTTTTCGTAAATATTACAGCTTCCGTCCTAGGATGGGCAAAGAAGCTAGTTTGATAAGAGTAGGCCAATGTGTGTTGCTGTCACGGTTCAAATTTTCCAAATTCACAAATGACCGACAAATTCCTCAATTGGCATTCCACAAAGCAACATCACAACATGTAGCTACTGCAGACTACTGTATGTGCTGTACTGCGCCTTCGTGATAGCCTTGCGCTGTAAGCCTTGCGATTTTACACCTCCCCCTTTTATATCGTTTAGAAAATACGTTGTCACTTCATTATCAACACCACCGCTACCCGACTAGCATTGCCTCAACCCACACTCATGTCGCTGACAGCATCGTCTGCCCTTTCTCGTAACTGTCGCCTCTCAACCTTCACCTCCACCTAACCCTGTACACAAACTACTTTGCATCGCGCATAAAGAAATGTTCTGTACTATGGAGTACAATATAGTAATTACGCATGATATTTTAGTGATTTTATTTTCATAATGTACTGCTAATAATGTTTTAACGTTTACTGCCGAAACTAGTATTGAGTGTAGTATTTTTAGTAATTGAATGTAATGTTGCGGATACGTCTAGGATGAAGATGCACGCATTAACACGGCTTCAGCATTGTTTAGTCCTCGTGGCAAAATTGCGTTGATTTACGTCGTTTCGGTATTCGTTGTCGCACATTTAAGGAAAGCATCCCCGACATAAACCGGGGTATTACTGTCAACTAAATTATTATTATTCAAGACTTACCACCTCACGTGTAGGTCGTCGCGATCGCATGCTAGAAGCTTGCACATTTGCCTGTTTCTCATTACGAACGTGTCCCAAGGCCTTGTTCAGATCACCTTGAGTGTGGGCCAAGGCAACTGCGTGCACGGACAGTGACCCACACTCGGCGCGGAGACGTGCCACCACCCCACGCACCTCGCGGCTGTACAGGTACATGTGGCGCACACTCACATTCACCTCCACCTGTCAGGAGGACAGAAACAAGAGTTAGGGACAAGGACATTTTTATTATTGTTACACTTCCTGACCCAGAAAATCCTAAGTCTCAAGAATATTTTTAACGAGGGTCATGCCATTTTTTTGGCAGCAGGAGGGGATGATGATTGCATGTGTCATCCGAATTCAGTAATTTTGCAAGTAATTTCCAGCATTGGGATAGATGAGCAATACATGTTCAATTGGAAGGGGTTTTTTATTTTATGGGAGGAAATCCATGTGTAGTGAGTCCAACTGAGTTGCAGAAGTTCTTCTTCAGAGGCAACACAGTGCATCGCACGCCGTGCTCTGCTAGAGCCGGCATCACTCTGCAACACACACGATGCTGTCCGGCACCATACAGTTACATCCCCAATGTCACTCACTACACATGTGTAGAGTAGTATGACGACATGACATCATGAGCGCTGTGAGGCGCAATGACGTCATGTCACGGGAAATACTTAAGGGGGACCTCGTGGCGAAAGCGGGGTCGTTGTGGGAGCCCGGGATGGTGAGCGTCTTAAGAAGGTCTCTCCTGCTCGTGACCGGACGGTGTTGGCTGATCCCCCGTCCGGGTTCTACGAGTAGGAGAGCCGAAGATACAGCCAGGGGTAGGGCTCAGAGAAGTCTGCAAGAGCCGGTTAAGATTACGTGGGGTGCTGCTCTCCTCGGTCGGGTGGTGTTGGATAAGCCCCCATCCCAACTCGAGTGAGAGGCCAAGAGATAGCCCAGGCTAGGAATAGATAGAGCCTGACGTCCGCGTCAAGGACTGAGTGTAGGGACACCTACCTCTGGTGTGTTTTGTTACCTCTGTGTTAATAAACTGGCGCAAGCCCTTACTAAGAGTTCAGTCTACGAGTCGTCCATGTACAGCAGGTGGAGAACATACACACTCCTCAATTAAGCCCACAAATCAACTATGCATCATAACGCTGGCCTGTGGAAACCTAAGTTTATGAATAAAATAATTGACGTGGCTCAGCGGTAGTGCATTTGCCACTTGTTGCAGAGGTTTGCGGTTCTATTCCGACAGGCCGTCCTGGTTAATACTAAGATGTACGAGCCGTAAAATAAACGCCATCGGCTTCACAGGGGACATCGAATATCCCGTTTAACATGTAGGCTTTCACGACGAATATCATCCATAAGAGGTTTGTTTTGTTAGATCGTGTAAATATATGTGTCGTTAAAATCCACCACCACCCGACACAGCCAACTAGTAAGGGTTGTAATGTAAACAGAACATGCCAATTTGTCACTAGTACAGCACACTGGTGTGTTGGAGAGCCAAGCCACAACATTTACAATCTGAGTACGATGTTTTGCCAGTATTACAACTAGCTTCATCAGGCGACAGACAGATTTGTGGAGAAGTCCACCTGTTTTGTTCCTTATATAGAGGCGTAGATGTGGTGACCACACTTCACGCTCTTGCGTAAAGTGGAGGGGGGGCGATTAATGAGTCAACGTACATTATGCATGTGCATTATACGAGCCCTTTAATCTTGTCCTTCCAGTCCATTGTGTGTATTAAAATAAAATAGCCGTATCAATGACAATACTATATTCTATCAAAAAAAATAAAAATATATTTTGAAACAATCTTTTTTATATGTTATGTTTGTTTCGGCTTGGGTCTAATTGTCAACGCTCAACTTACGTAGGCTGTAATTGACCACGGTCCCTTACATTATGGCAAGCCTCGGGGCCACTTCCTGGAGTTGTGGAGTTCTGCCATTACTCATACGGTACATTTCATTAAAGCGTGTTTAAAAAAAAGTATTTTAAAATATTACTTATTCAAAAGAAGTTTTAGCATCTGTATATTAGTGCTGTTACCAATACCTCAATGAAGCCCTCATATATTGCTCATACATGTGCAATAATACAGGTCGACGACAAGCGACTGTGTTCATTCAGACGCTGTCTCCCCGACAGACCTGTTCTTCACCTGAGGACGGCTGCTTGCGTTGTGGCCGAAACGTCGTGAAAATTGTATTTTATTATGTTTTATTTTATTATTTTATTATTTCCCTTCTACGTGACTTTACCGAAAGAACCAAGAAGAAGCGACTGTGTCTCCGTCTGTTTATTTCTTCGTTATATGGACAGCTCGCGTTCCGCTCTCTCGGACGTTCCGCGGCGCGTCGCGTGAGCTGGCGTCCCGCTTCCCCGCTCCCGCGCACCGCTGGCAGACGGCGCGCTGGGAGCCGTCTCCGCGTCGCCACGTGGCCGATGGCTCACGGAGACCCGCGACGTGGTCCAGCTTCCAGCTCTCACCAACTGACCTCGAGCCCCTTCCGGCTCTCCATTATATCCCCTTCCCGCGTCACCCAGACTCTGCCCTTCACCACACCCCTTGAGAACTTTCCAGATAATACCACCCCCTAGCGCCCGCGGGCTCCACCCTTGAACCCTTCCCCCGATGGCTCGTGTCGCCTGGATGAGTTAGGGGCTGGGGCGGCGAAGCCCCAGCCTACGCTCGCATTACACATGTAAGAATTAAAGCTGTTGGGAATGCATCCCCATATATACAATTGTCTAATGAACTCCTTTATGCGCCGATTTGATTAGTGGCCACTTCTCCAGCATACACATTTTGAGCGCTAAGCAAGGTCTGCCTGTACAATAATTTTCACTATTATTATTCAAGCACACAAATACCTCTCTAGACGTGGGCAGCATGGCTCGACCTCTGGTCTTGCTCCGTGAATTGCCGGCATTCTCGCAGACGCCCCATGCCTCACTGCATGCAGCTAAAGACATGGCTGTACTCTCCAATTGCTGTCAAATGAGAAGAGAGTTTAAGACACCATGAAGCACTTTTCTTGACACTGCAACACCACCACACCATCTTGACTAGTTTTACCGTGTCAATGACCACATATGCCAATGCAATTTATATACAGTGAGGGAACAAAGTATTTGATCCCCTGCTGATTTTGTATGTTTGCCCACTGACAAAGAAATTATCAGTCTATAATTTTAATGGTAGGTTTATTTGAACAGTGAGAGACAGAATAACAACAACAAAATCCAGAAAAAACGCATGTCAAAAATGTTATAAATTGATTTGCATTTCAATGAGGGAAATAAGTATTTGACCCCCTCTCAATCAGAAAGATTTCTGGATCCCAGGTGTCTTTTATATAGGTAACAAGCTGAGATTAGGAGCACACACTTAAAGGGAGTGCTCCTAATCTGAGCTTGTTACCTGTGTAGTGACATAAGAAGGGAGGGGGGGCTGCTGTAGGCACTGGGTTCCCAGGGGGTCCAGACGCTTTTAAGCCTTTGGGCGCCAGGCGTTGGGTTCCCAGGCGCTTAAGCCTTTTTGGCGCCGCCAACGGGGGGGGGGGGGGGGGCTGTGTGTGCTCTGTGGGATGTCTGGTGGCGCACCCCACCCCTCGTCGGACCAGGCATAAAAGGAGAGCTCCCTGGACGATCGGGGCCCAGTTGTAACTCAAGACCCAAGACCCACGACCAGCCATCTGAAGACCCTGGGATGCTGTGAGAGCCAGCGCTGGGACTACGACCTTGTGAGGGCGAGCGTAGCCAGAGTAGAGTATCTAGAGTATCTAGGCTGTGTAGCTAGGCTGTGTACCTAGGCTGTAACAGAGTATCAGGACTGTTGGAGTGTTGTATTGTAATAAAGAAGTTACATCTACAAGTGTCTCCGGAACCCGTTACACCTGTATAAAAGACACCTGTTCACAGAAGCAATCAATCAATCAGATTCCAAACTCTCCACCATGGCCAAGACCAAAGAGCTCTCCAAGAATGTCAGGGACAAGATTGTAGACCTACACAAGGCTGGAATGGGCTACAAGTCCATCGCCAAGCAGCTTGATGAGAAGGTGACAACAGTTGGTGCGATTATTCGCAAATGTAAGAAACACAAAAGAACTGTCAATCTCCCTCGGCCTGGGGCTCCATGCAAATCTCACCTCGTGGAGTTGCAATGATCATGAGAACGGTGAGGAATCCGCCCAGAAATACACGGGAGAATCTTGTCAATGATCTCAAGGCAACTGGGACCATAGACACCAAGAAAACAGTTGGTAACACAGTACGCCGTAAAGGACTGAAATCCTGCAGCGCCCGCAAGATCCCTCTGCTCAAGAAAGCACATATACATGCCCGTCTGAAGTTTGTCAATGATTCAGAGGACAACTGGGTGAAAGTGTTGTGGTCAGATGAGACCAAAATGGAGCTCTTTGGCATCAACTCAACTCCCGTGTTTGGAGGAGGAGGAATGCTGCCTATGACCCCAAGAACACCATCCCCACCGTCAAACATGGAGGTGGAAACATTATGCTTTGGGGGTGTTTTTCTGCTAAGGGGACAGGACAACTTCACCGCATCAAAGGGACGATGGACGGGGCCATGTACCGTCAAATCTTGGGTGAGAACCTCCTTCCCTCAGCCAGGGCATTGAAAATGGGTCGTGGATGGGTATTCCAGCATGACAATGACCCAAAACACACGGCCAAGGTAACAAAGGAGTGGCTCAAGAAGAAGCACATTCAGGTCCTGGAGTGGCCTAGTCAGTCTCCAGACCGTAATCCAATAGAAAATCTGTGGAGGGAGCTGAAGGTTCGAGTTGCCAAACGTCAGCCTCGAAACCTTAATGACTTGGAGAAGATCTGCAAAGAGGAGTGGGACAAAATCCCTCCTGAGATGTGTGCAAACCTGGTGGTCAACTACAAGAAACGTCTGACCTCTGTGATTGCCAACAAGGGTTTTGCCACCAAGTACTAAGTCATGTTTTTCAGAGGGGTCAAATACTTATTTCCCTCGTTGAAATGCAAATCAATTTATAAAATTTTTGACATGCGTTTTTTCTGGATTTTGTTGTTGTTATTCTGTCTCTCACTGTTCAAATAAACCTACCATAAAAATTATAGACTGATCATTTCTTTGTCAGTGGGCAAACGTACAAAATCAGCAGGGGATCAAATACTTTTTTCCCTCACTGTATGTAAAACTGCTCAATTATTTACAACTAGCCTTTAGCCCGTCCAAGGACGGGTGTATTGCAGTTAATCTGAAACTTGCAAGTGAAAAGCAGACCGCGACGTGATATTCATTGCATTAATGCGTGTGCAATTTGTAAGGGCGCAGTGACACAGACCTAATTCATTTTAAGGTTATAATCCCTTGTTCATCATGACGTCCTTTTTACTTTGATGTCTCAATAGCATTACGGAGATTGCTTGACTTGAGGGTTTTGCCTTTGTAGTGAGGTTTGTAAGTTAACGCTGAGGAGGGGGGAGGAGGCACCTCGGCCCCCCATGTGGAGTGACGTCAGCCGCTAATTATTATGAATGGGGGGAGGTGTCCATTTGGAGGACGTCACCTTATGATTATTAACTAGGGGGGCTGTTCGATGTGGAGTGACGTCACCTGCTCATGATTATTAATTAGGGGGGTGCGTGCTCCATGTGGAGTGATGTCATCTGCTCATGATTATTAATGAAGGGGGCTGTTCGATGTGGAGTGACATCACTTACGCATGACTACACTATGTGTAACACAATTTTTGTCCCTGGGTAGTAAGTGTTATTTTTTAATTGCTTCTGCCTAAAAAGTATAGAAAATGGCTATTATTCCCCACAAACTTTGGTTTTGTGACCAGGACAGTGATATTTAGAAATGTACCTATTTTCAATGAGAAAACGGTCGAATTTGTGTCTTTTTGTTCACATAAAGTCAGAAAAAAAAACATATGAATCGAAATTAACATGTATTTATACTAAAGTAATACAAAATTATTACAAAAGATTTAGAAGTGAGTAGTTTTTTGAGATTTGCAATTATACTGTAAATTACTTTCATGAATCAGCCCCCAAATGTAGCCTCCCATCATGTTCTCATTATACTGTCCTTGGTAGCGGCGTTCAAAGTCCAGTATATCCTGGTGGAAGCGCTCGCCCATTTCCTCCGAGTGCGCTGCCATATTCTCCTTGAATTAATCAAGATGAGCATCAAGGAAATGGACTTTGAGGGACATCCTACAGCCCATTGTGCCATCGTTCTTCACCAGAGTCTCAACCAGCTCCACATAGTTTTCGGCCTTGTGATTTCCCAGGAAGCCCCGAACGACTGCGACAAAGCTGTTCCAAGCCGCTTTCTCCTTACTTGTGAGCTTCTTGGGGAATTCATTGCACTCCAGGATCTTCTTTATCTGTGATTCGACGAAAACACCAGCTTTCACCTTTGCCTCAGACAGCTTCGGGAAGTACAGTGGAACCTCGGTATACAACCGCTTTGGAATACGTCGAATTTGGTATACGTCGTATACATATAAAATATATCTTGGGATACGACGTCTTGCTTGGGATACGACGCCTTTGCTAAAACTTGTGTGGGTCGGGATGAGTCACCGCGTACAGTACCCGCGTATGCCCCGTTCACGACTGAGACAAAGCGAGAGTGGTGGGGTAGCGGGGGGAGGCGGGGGACGTGGGGGGGAGGGGCGGGGTGGCGTGGCGTGGGGGAGAGGGGCGGGGGATGTGGGGAAAAGGGGCAGGGTAGCGTGGTGGAGAGGGGCGGGGGACGTAAAGGAGAGGGGCGGGGGACGTGGGGGGCTGCCCCCATGGAGGGCCCCAGGTCGAGGCGCGTGCTACTTGCGGGGTTGAGACACGCCACGTGGCCAGCGCAGCTGGCAGCAGCGCGGTCACGTGGCTTCTGTAAGCATTTTCGTAATTAGTGTCTAAATTATTTTATACAACCCCATTAATGTATAATATGCCATATAAAATATAATTTATTTTCCTCTGGAACGGATTATTTCCTTTCCATTTATTTATTATGGGAAAAAATCGTTTGGTATACGTCATTTTCGGTATAAGTCCTACCTTCTGGAACGAATTAACGACGTATACCGAGGTTCCACTGTAGTCTTGAAGGTACTTGAAGGATGCTGACTCCTTATCTACAGCTCTGACAAATTGTTCCATAAGGCCCACTTTGATGTGCCGTGGTGGCATCAGCACCTTCCGGGGGTCCACCAGTGGCTCCCACTTGACGTTGTTCCTCCCCACAGAGAACTCGGTCCGCTGTGGTCAGTCCCGCCTGTGGTAGTGCGCTTTGGTGTCCCTGCTGTCCCAATGGCAAAGATAGCAGGGAAACTTGGTAAAACCTCCTTGGAGACCTTTCAGGAATGCCACCATTTTTAAGTTTACGATGACCTCCCTGCCATACTCATCATACTTCAAGGCATCCAGCAAGGTCTTGATGCTGTTGTAATCCTCTTTGAGGTGCACCGAGCGAGCCAGGGGAAGAGACGGGTACTTGTTACCATTACGGAGCAGCACGGCTTTGAGGCTCCTGGATGAGCTGTCAATGAAGAGGCGCCACTCATTCTGGTGACAGGCGATTCCGATTGCCTCGAACAGACTCGTCACATTGTGGCAGAAGCAGAGCCCATCTTGACGGGTGAAGAAGCTGCAAAAAGGTTGGTGACGCTTCCTCTGATCTGCGACTTGCACACTTGCATTCAACCAGTTTCACTGCTTGAGCCGAGACATCAAAAGCTCAGCATTGGACTTGGTGAGACCAAGATCTCTGATCAAGTCGTTGAGGTCTTTTTGGTTTCTCTCCTCGGCTCCACCTCTGAAAATGTCATCTGGATCTACATCTTCCTCGCTCTCTGACTTGCATTGAAAATTGTAAAACATTTTAAAATAAAAAAAGTTTTACAATTTTTTATATTTTATAATATAAAATTCCGAGCAACAATTGTCCATCTTACATTCCATAGTTGTTTTGCATTGCTGGCAGGTGAAATGAGGTGCCCAGGGTTTATCTTGATCCCCGACAGGCATGCCGAAATATCGTAAATATGCCTTGTGGGCCTCACACATCTTAGCATATGCTTCAACAGAGTACTTTTTCGCTCTTGTATTGATAAATTGGCCGCAGACATAGCAAAATGCGTCTGCCGGATGCTTGCAGCCGCTTAATGCCATCTCAGAAAAATGCAGATATATATCCACTTCGGCAGCTGGAACTAAACTGAACTGGTGGGCTTAAGGCCCCTGTATTTATACTAGTATTTATATTACTGGAAAGTTCTAGAATGTTCTCGAAGTTACTCCAAGTTTACTCCGCACTGAATCTATCTGGAATGCTCAATGAAAATAGGTACATTTAAAAATATCACTGTCCTGGTCACAAAAGCGAAGTTTTTGGGGGGAATAGCCATTTTCTGTACTTTTGAGGCATACGCAATTAGAAAATAACACTTACGACCCAGGGACAATTTTTCTTACAGTGTTATTCGTAAGGGGCAGGGGGAGTACTCCATATTGAGTGAAGTTACCCGTTTTTGATTATTAATGAGGGGAAATGGCGGAGCCAGGATTTTCAGGTAGGGGTGGCAACTCCTCCAGCAATGAAAAATGATAGTTGTTAGTAAGTAAGGACGTGTCCCTTGCTTTTTATTCGACGCGTGTGCGGCGATGTGTGCAGCCATCAATCGAGGGTCGAATTCGAACTGTGTGTGATCGGCATCGCGCTCACTTAAGATATGCCTTCAGGGAAGTCGTGTACTGTATACGCAACTGCGCACAATTCTGTGAGTCACTTATACCTGCTTTGACGTTACTTATTGCCAATTATGGACTCAGACTATTGTCCTATCATCTCATAGAGTCCCTGGCACATAATAGTATGCTATGCAGTGGCAGTGGGGGTCGCAAAATGCCGATTTATTACTAATAAACCCCAATGATCCGATCGAAATTAGGGATTTAGATCGGATCATTGGGGGGGCACGTGCCACCCCACCCCCCACTAGCTCCGCCAGTGAGGAGGGGTGGGGGGTCCATTTGGAGGACGTCACCTGCTCATAAATATTAATGAGGCGGGCTGGTCGATGTGGAGTGAGGTCACGAGCGTTAAGGACAGACATTCCTGGGTGGTTATTTACAATAGTTATTTTGGTTAGACTACATAACAAACTAGCCAAGATTATGTCATAAGACTCTCCAAAAAGGTGAATTGTCATGTCCACAAGCATTTAACGTGCTAATTATTGTTGTTTGAGCTCATTGGTACATCAGTACACTTGGTTAATATAAAAAATAAAATTACGTAGAGGGACAGATATTTGAAGGAGACATTGCTTATTTATTATTACTGTACTTATATTCTGCACAACGATGCGACAAATAATTTTGTCTGGTATGCATAACATTCTCCACATGTAGAGCCACTTATAAAGTGCTATATAGTGCTATATTAGTAGTAATGTACATGTGGAGTATGATAATTAGCTGTACACATATACAATATTATATAGTATACTAAATAAAATAATTAATACTGTATCGTCATTGTGAAAAATGTAAGTCCAATAATAATCCAATAATCCGCGTTCCTGTGGGGGATCAAATCGTGGGTCCTGTAACCTGCGGTACACCGTGGAGAGTCGTTAAACAATCCCCGTGAAAACATGTTTACGCTGACGTATGCTATGGATTATGGGATGAATTAACTGCACAGTTGCATTAATTACATGAAATAAAATCACTGATTTTTTTATTACGCGTTTTCTAACACCCAAATGGTGCAACATCTTCCATGTGCATAATAGAGGTTTTTGGGTTAGATCGCGTAAATACAGAAATGTGTCGTTAAACCCGCCACCACCCGACACAGCAAAGTAGTACGGGTTGTCACGTAAACAGAACGTGTAGTTTATACTTTAGTTTTCTACGTTGTTGTTTAGTAACTGCAGCTACATACTATTAACATTCTTTTCCTTTGTTAATGCTACTGCACCCCCCCTTGGTGCTGTTGATCCTGCATAATGCATGGGCATAATATGACTATGAAACCCCCCCCCACCCACCTCCTACGCATTTCCCATGAATATGCGAAATTCCTCTTCATATGCACATTCTTTTTGTTAAGGCGCTCTTGCACCTCCAACGCAGCGTATATATAAGCTCCTAGCTTGCTTGGTAGTGTCTCATTCTTCACCTGAAGACGGCTGCTTGCGTTGTAGCCGAAACGTCGTGAGAATTATTTTATTTTATTGTTTTATTTTTATTATTTTATTACTTCCCTTCTACGTGACTTTACCGAAAGAACCAAGAAGATGGATCCCTGCAGTCACGAAAGCTTTAAATCGATTATTTATGATACTTGATATCCAAGTAAATACATGCTAAATACTTCCTAACAGATCGCGTGAGCACAGCTCGTCTGTACTGAGACAAACCCAAAAGACGACTTTGCTGGATTACGGAAGCAAATCGCGAATCACAAATCCCCGAATTACAGGGATTTGTAGATTACCACATCGCGAATTATTGGATTTCTGCTGTAACAAAAGACATTACGCCTCCTGCACATATATATGTCCCTCTACGTACAAAACAACTATGTATATCGGCCTTTTGGGAGCGCATCTCAGACAGCATGGGTTCAACGCAAGCAAACTCTGGACCGGTTTTGACATTCAGTGTCTCCATCAGCAGTCCGATTTGGAAGAAACCACAGCTGAAACTTTCTAAATGGTTAGTAGCAATTCCCACTGTCGACGAGTGCTCATTTGCGTGTCGCGTATTTACAGGTGTCAAGGTTGACCCGATTCGAACACAGCGTCCATTCGCCAATCAACATCTGGTAGCACGCAAAACAGATCCTCCATGTCGCCTCAACAGAGTGTGAGGCAAGTGCTGGTAGCGAGCAGCACCACGAAGGCCACACGAGGCGGTGGCGATGTCTCTAGACACCGCACCAGGTGCTTACATTGAACCCGAGTCGACCTAGGAGAGGCCCAGGGCGCCAAGCACGACGCTGCCCCCCCCCCAGGCACACACGAGTCTGCCCCCCCCCAGGCACACACGAGTCTGCCCCCCCCGGCACACACGAGTCTGCCCCCCCCCCAGGCACACACGAGTCTGCCCCCCCCCCCCGGCACACACGAGTCTGCCCCCCCCCCCCCAGGCACACACGAGTCTGCCCCCCCCCCAGGCACACACGAGTCTGCCCCCCCCCAGGCACACACGAGTCTGCCCCCCCCCCCAGGCACACACGAGTCTGCCCCCCCCAGGCACACACGAGTCTGCCCCCCCCCCAGGCACACACGAGTCTGCCCCCCCCCCAGGCACACACGAGTCTGCCCCCTCCAGGCACACACGAGTCTGCCCCCCCCAGGCACACACGAGTCTGCCCCCCCCCCCCAGGCACACACGAGTCTGCCCCCCCCCCCCCCAGGCACACACGAGTCTGCTCCCCCCCCCCCAGGCACACACGAGTCTGCCCCCCCCCCCAAGGCACACACGAGTCTGCTCCCCCCCCCCAGGCACACACGAGTCTGCCCCCCCCCCCCGCACACACGAGTCTGCTCTCCCCCCCCCCCAGGCACACACGAGTCTGCCCCCCCCCCAGGCACACACGAGTCTGCTCCCCCCCCCCCAGGCACACACGAGTCTGCCCCCCCCCAGGCACACACGAGTCTGCTCCCCCCCCCCAGGCACACACGAGTCTGCCCCCCCCCAGGCACACACGAGTCTGCCCCCCCCCCCCAGGCACACACGAGTCTGCTCCCCCCCCCCAGGCACACACGAGTCTGCCCCCCTCCCAGGCACACACGAGTCTGCTCCCCCCCCCCAGGCACACACGAGTCTGCTCCCCCCCCCCCAGGCACACACGAGTCTGCTCCCCCCCCCCCCCAGGCACACACGAGTCTGCCCCCCCCCAGGCACACACGAGTCTGCTCCCCCCCCCCAGCCACACACGAGTCTGCCCCCCCCCAGGCACACACGAGTCTGCCCCCCCCCAGGCACACACGAGTCTGCTCCCCCCCCCCAGGCACACACGAGTCTGCTCCCCCCCCCCCCAGGCACACACGAGTCTGCTCCCCCCCCCCCCAGGCACACACGAGTCTGCCCCCCCCCCAGGCACACACGAGTCTGCCCCCCCCCCCAGGCACACACGAGTCTGCTCCCCCCCCCCAGGCACACACGAGTCTGCTCCCCCCCCCCAGGCACACACGAGTCTGCTCCCCCCCCCCCAGGCACACACGAGTCTGCCCCCCCCCCCCCCAGGCACACACGAGTCTGCTCCCCCCCCCCCCAGGCACACACGAGTCTGCCCCCCCCCCCCGGCACACACGAGTCTGCCCCCCCCCCAGGCACACACGAGTCTGCTCCCCCCCCCCCCCAGCCACACACGAGTCTCCCCCCCCCCCCCCGGCACACACGAGTCTGCCCCCCCCCCCCCAGGCACACACGAGTCTGCCCCCCCCCCCCAGGCACACACGCCGCTGCCTCCGACTGATGCGGGACGCTCGCTCTGAGCCCGTGGGGTTCTCGTGTCTCGCCGCGCGTGTGGACGCGTGGCGAGATGCGAGCTGCGTCGCTTGCTGTACAGGAGGTCGTCGGTTCTACCCCGACCCCGACTGCGGCTGCGTGTTGTGAGTTCGCGCGTCTCTCTCTCTCCCCGAGTTCGCGTGGATTTGTTTCCGGGTTTCCCCTCCACATTAAGAATCAACGCGCGTTTGTCTGCTATAGATGTACACGCGATGAAACGCCACTTCCGTTGAGGTAGAATGTGGTAGTCAGGTCGATTCTGAAAAAGAGCTATAATACAGCTCAGTGCGGAGCCTTAGCTGGTAAAATATAAAAATAGTGACTATAGTTGTGAACAGTTTAGTTGCCTCTTACCTGCGCCGCTGTCTCCACTCGCCCCGCGCCGCGTCTCCCCGGGAACCAGCCGCGCGGTGACGTCACCATCGCTTCGCGACGAGGGGAGGGGGAGGGGTGAACGGGGGGCAAGGGGGTGACGTCACCATCGCTTCGCGACGAGGGGAGGGGGAGGCGTGAAGGGGGGCAAGGGGGTGACGTCACCATCGCTTCGCGACGAGGGGAGGGGGAGGGGTGAACGGGGGGGCAAGGGGGTGACGTCACCATCGCTTCGCGACGAGGGGAGGGGGAGGCGTGAAGGGGGGCAAGGGGGTGACGTCACCATCGCATCGCGACGAGGGGAGGGGGAGGGGTGAACGGGGGGCAAGGGGGTGACGTCACCATCGCTTCGCGACGAGGGGAGGGGGAGGGGTGAAGGGGGGCAAGGGGGTGACGTCACCATCGCTTCGCGACGAGGGGAGGGGGAGGGGTGAACGGGGGGCAAGGGGGTGACGTCACCATCGCTTCGCGACGAGGGGAGGGGGAGGCGTGAAGGGGGGCAAGGGGGTGACGTCACCATCGCTTCGCGACGAGGGGAGGGGGAGGCGTGAAGGGGGGCAAGGGGGTGACGTCACCATCGCATCGCGACGAGGGGAGGGGGAGGGGTGAACGGGGGGCAAGGGGGTGACGTCACCATCGCTTCGCGACGAGGGGAGGGGGAGGGGTGAACGGGGGGCAAGGGGGTGACGTCACCATCGCTTAGCGACGAGGGGAGGGGGAGGGGTGAACGGGGGGCAAGGGGGTGACGTCACCATCGCTTCGCGACGAGGGGAGGGGGAGGGGTGAAGGGGGGCAAGGGGGTGACGTCACCATCGCTTCGCGACGAGGGGAGGGGGAGGGGTGAACGGGGGGCAAGGGGGTGACGTCACCATCGCTTCGCGACGAGGGGAGGGGTGAAGGGGGGGCAAGAGGGTGACGTCACCATCGCTTCGCGACGAGGGGAGGGGGAGGGGTGAAGGGGGGGCAAGGGGTGACGTCACACGTCTCTAAAAGCGCGGGAAACTCCCCCCCCCCCAGCGATGGCGGCTGTCTCCGAGTCGCCCTCGTGCTCTCCGCCGCTGCCCGCGTGGAGGAGGCAGCGCCGCCTCGGAGATGGCGCCCTCGAGCACCACGAGGGCCACGCGAATCCGCCATCGACATCAGTAAGGTTGGAATCTGTGCATCTCGTTCCTCACCACCCTCACAACCTCATCAACATCTCCCCATCGCCTCACCTCGTCTGCCTCCTCACCCATCGCCTCATCTCGTCTGCCTCCTCACCCATCGCCTCACCTCGTCCTCCTCACCCATCGCCTCACCTCGTCTGCCTCCTCACCCATCGCCTCACCCACCCACTTACCCTGCAACCCACTTAATCTCTAACACACTCACTCACCCACTCACCGACTCCCTCAACCACTGATCCACTGACTCACTCACAGACCCACCCAGTTAATCACCCACTCTGTGTAGTGCTCACCTCTTCTGGTATTGTGAGATATTCTTCCTCCCAGCAGCTTCTTCATGACGACGCCCGTGGGGTGGGCGAGCCTCTCAACGAGCCAGGCGAGAGGGACCACAGCCTGGTCATGTTGGGTTCCAGTGGCGGCTGGTGATATTTATTTTTGGGGGGGCGCATTTTTTTATTTTATTGAGGGGGGCAAATAAATATAAAGCAGTACCAAAAACCATTTTGACTACTTGAATATAAATTTTGATGATCTTTATTTACATTTCAGACCAAAGGAAGTACCAAAAAGCATGTTTCCTACTTGAACATAATGT